TTGTCTGCCACTTGACTTGCACATTCCCATCACAACCTTCCAAAATAAATCACCAATTAATGTTACCAAACACTCCGAATTGACTTGCACATCCCCATCACAACCTTCCAAAATAAATCACCAATTAATGTTACCAAACACTCCGAAGTACAAATTCAATTAAAAACAAAAATTGAAAGAAAAAAACACATAGATCTTAAATAACCTACAGGGAGGAAGGATAAAACTAAGTTTTTTGTCGAAAAATTCTTTAAGGACCCAAAATATGGGACCAATAGGAGGGACAAGTGAGGTGTCCCCTCCTATTGGATAATGAGTTGGTCATCATTAATGGTGACCAACTCATTATCCAATAGGAGAGGGACACATCACTTGTCCCTTTTATTGGTCCCATATTTTGGGTCACTGTAGCAAAGCTCTTTTTTGTCTGCCATTTGACTTGTGCATCCCCATCAAAGTCTGGCATTTGACTCGCGCATCCCCATCAAAACCTGCCAAAATAAATCACCAATTAACGTTACCAAACACTCCGAAGTACAAAATCAATTAAAAACAAAACTGAAAGAAAAAGACACATATATCTTAATTAAGCAAACTTTACATCAAATTGGAAACTGAAGTGGGTTTATGTTGTTTAATGAAGAGAGATGTGGACAATCACAGATTGTTGAGTGCTGGATATAATTTGGAAGGTATTGACAGGGATGTTTAAATCCAGTGGCAAACAAAAACTGTATAGTGGGCTCATTAAAAGTATAAAGATTTTACTCTCAATACCTACCGCAATTTTATAATTTTGGTGTATTTGAAGACACATGCATGTTGTGCCTCGAGAATCCAAACCAATCGCCGAGAAAGGATAGACCAACACACCAAACAAGCACAAACAATCACTAACACCAGTTTTTACGTGGTTCGGTAAGATGCCTACGTCCACGGGGCAAGGAAGATGGAGTTTTCACTATTAGAAATCAAGGGCATATAACTAGGGTTACAAATCTCTCATAAACCCTCAACAACTTACCTCTTGATCTCACCAATTGCTCCTAGAATAGAAGCCCAAGAACTCACCCTCAATGGCTGCTAAAACCCCTTGCTTACTAACCCTAAAACCGAGTTTGGGTATTTATAGAAAACCCAAACGAAACGGGTCTGGAAAACAGACCCAGCCCAAAACCGCTTCGGCGGTCGACCGGACCAGTCGACCGCGATCCATCGCAGTCGACCGCGTCGGTCGACCGCCACCAATCCTGATGCCCAGTAAACAATATGCACGAACGCGGTCGACCGGGCCGGTCGACCGCCACCCTGACAACCTGAATCCTAAGCCTGAAACCTGATCTCTGCCAATTCTACAAATCTCCACCTCGGTGAAGATTTCCCAAATCTGAGCCAACACCAACCAAACCAATGCCTCAACTGTTGCATCCAGTACGCCATGGCAACAGACTCATGACAACGGACCCCATCCACAACACGTCGTGACCCAAACGGGAGTGCGAACACTCAACCCCAAACCAACTGTGTCTACTCATCAAATCGAACTGAGCCTACACCGACTACACCAAATGCCTCACTTGCTGAGACCCAAATGGGAGTGTGAACACTCACCCCAAATGTCGATGTCGCTAATCAAATCGGCTGCATCATAAAGACTACCTACGTATCCTCTCCAAGGAATCAAGCCTTCACGTAGTTCACCCAATGGCCTCCAAAGGCCCTCAATCCATCTTACGGCTGATAGCATTATCAACGGCCCCAAACTGAAACAAGTCCAACACCTCCACCTGAGGTGAAATAATGGCCGTATCCAAACCATATCCACCAGCTGCATCCAAATCAATCACCTCATCATCTGCACCCATAAATAAATGACTCTCATGTTGTACCACCTCAGCTGGAATCCCAACCAATACAGAATGACCTGGAGTATGTGAGGAAATCCTCACCCAATGTGGAGTAGCATCACCCTCCACCCGCTACGATATCCCTCTAACCTGATCAATTCTCTCCACCTGCCGAGAGTCCAAAGTGACAAACCTGCTCAGACCAAACTCAGAAGCTCCCCACTGATAGACAAACGAGCCTCTGAATCCTAAATACGCAATCGGATCCAATCTCACATCCATGATGTGACCAAGTGCTGGGTAGCCCGATATCCGACGCCAACCAAAATCTGATACAGCTCCACCAGATCTAACAACTCTATACGCAGCAGTCGGCAATCTCATAAGATGACCCAAACCTGTCCACCAGATCTAACAACTCTATACGCAGCAGTCGGCAATCTCATAAGATGACCCAAACCTGTCGAAGCCTGAATACCAGATCCATTGCTCAACAACCAACGCCGATCCTCCTCCAGAAAAGAACGGCTCACTAAATCCGCCATCTCATCACGTCGCCCCATTGTCTTCTCTCCTCTGAAGTGTCTCCAACTGTCATGAGCTCGGCACCAATGCAAGAAAGAACCCCTATTAGAACTAGTACAACGGGTCACCTTTCTACCCATACACCTCCTCCAACTGTTACGGACTACTAGGGCTTCATACCAAAGGGACTTGGTTGTAACCCAAATATGCCTAGTACAATCCCCAACATAGGAAACAAAATACCGATTACCTGCTGATGATGCCTCCTCGGAAAGCCCCCCATTGCCTGACTGAACACCTCTAATAAGACCCATCGATCGGTGGATAGAAGTGTTGTACTCCACCTCGGTCTTCTCGCTCATCCTAATGTGCTCGCAGGACTTCAATTTGTAGGTCATAGCAATCCTCAACAATCTGTGCACGGCATAACCAATAATATATCCCACCACCATACAACGCCACAGTCTAGCCATAGAAGTCGTCAGCGCCCTATCCACTTCCATGCTCCCAAGCAGATAATACAAGTTACTCCGTCTGACGCCCTTCATAACAATCATGGACCCTGATGTTCCGCCAAGATCACCCTATAGCCTGATGCCTCCAATACCCCAAGTGAAATGATGTTCTTCCTCAGTTGAGGAACGAACCTCACATCAGCCAACTCCCGGATCATCCCGTCACTCATCCGAATCCGAACGGTACCAATACCACCAATAGGGCATCTGTGATCATTACCCATGAGAACAGCATCCCCTCTTTCCAACTCCTGAAAGCTGGAGAACCAATCCCTTCTAGGGCATATGTGGTAAGTAGCACCAGAATCCAACATCCACTCGGTGGAGTCGGCAACATCAACTGACGGAAGAGCTGGGCACGAATAGCCCGAAGAATCTGAATCTGAAACATCGCCACTAGCCTTGGCAATATTCACCTCTGAAGCTTGAATAGCTTTCCCTTTATTCTTCACAGCTTGCAATTTTGGGCATTCGGCTTTCCAATGTCCATCCTCTCTACAAAAGGCACACTGATTCCTACCAACTGCAGGATGCCCACCTCTAGACTGTGATCTCCTCCCACGGTTTGGACTTTTAGCTCTTGCAACCAATGCCCGCGTAACCGGCTCAATGGAAGTCTCATTGTCCTTCTTTCGAAGTTGATAATTCACAAGTATCGCGGTGACTTCACTATACGAAAGAGATGTCTTCCCATTAATAAGAGTGAGGACAAATGTCTCATATTCCTCGTCAGCCAAGGAACTCAATAACAATAACGCTTTATCCTCATCTTCAACAATGACATCTACGTTCACCAAATCTGCAAGTAGCTTCGTGTAGTGGTTCATGTGATCACTAATGGATGTCCCCTTCTTCAATTGGAAGCGATAAAACCTCCTCTTCAAATACAAACGATTTTTGACGCTCTTTGTCAAATATTTGCCCTCTAGGACCTCCTAAATCTTCGTCAAATATTTGCCCTCTAGGACCTCCCAAATCTTCTTTGCTGAAGTTTCATTCATCACATCATATTTTAGATCTTGGGTAAGGCAAGACCTAATCACACCACACGCTGTTCTATTCATTTTTTTTCCAAATCTTATCATCCATGTTGTCCGGTTTCCCGTCCAACTCTAACGTATCTTCTAGATTTTGCGTATTTAGCGCATCCATGACTTCGCATCGCCAAAGTCCAAAATTATTTGTGCCGTTGAACTTTTCCACATCTATTTTCATAGAATGTATACTCAAACTTTGGATGGCCTTCACACTAGAAGAACCCTCCCCATGTTTATCCTTTCCGGCCATTTATCTCAAAGCACCCAATACAATTACGGAACGATAAGAAATAGATCTAACTTAAAAAAGATAGAAACTTTACCACAAAGATCCAATATTTATCACCAACCGAAGCTCTAGATGAACTTCCCAACTGATCTACGCCTCCAAAAAGCCCAAGCGTTGCCCGGGGCTCTGATACCACTTGTTGTGCCTCGAGAATCCAAACCAATCGCCGAGAAAGGATAGACCAACACACCAAACAAGCACAAACAATCACTAACACCAGTTTTTACATGGTTCGGCAAGATACCTACGTCCACGGGGCAAGGAAGGGGGAGTTTTCACTATTAGAAATCAAGGGGATACAACTAGGGTTACAAATTTCTCATAAACCCTCAACAACTCACCTCTTGATCTCATCAATTGCTCCTAGAATAGAAGCCCAAGAACTCACCCTCAATGGCTGCTAAACCCCCTTGCTTACTAACCCTAAAACCGAGTTTGGGTATTTATAGAAAACCCAAACGAAACGGGTCTAGAAAACAGACCCAGCCCAAAACCGTTTCGGCGGTCGACCGGCCCGGTCGACCGCCTTTTAGCCATTGTCAAAGTTAGAATTTTTAACCAGACTCTTATGTTTCTTCTTTCTTTATAAGTGATAACTACTTCTATAAGGCAGATACTTTATTTTCATGCTGATATATACCAAGAAAATGGTGGGCGTGGGAGGTTGATAGGAAAATTATTCACATAAAACAATACCTCTAGTATGATTACATCGAGCCTGTTACAAGTTATGTTGAAATATCAAAAGTAACATACAGAAACCAATGTTAGATTAAATGAAGTTTACCTGATTGCTTCAAGTCTCGTAGCCTGCTTCAAAATAAATTAAAATAGTGAAAACTTACTCCATAAATGTTAAACCGAGTGAAATAAACAAACACCATAAAGCTAGATTACCTTTGAAATTGTCCAGTGTCTATAAATTAAAGCTAAGCTGTGATCATTCAATGAATAGTTAATCATTCAAATTGAGGACAATTGAAAATATCAGAATAAAAAGAAACAAAGGGCGAAACATTAATATGATGGAAAACTAAAAAAGTAAAGACGACAAATAAGATCAATATAATCTATTAAAATAAGATCAATATAATCTACTAAAAATACGATCAATATAAACATCATACTTAATTGCATATATCCGCTGAACTTTATTCAAAGCAAAAAAAACCTCCACGGTCACATTAATAAGAAATCAGATTGGGGATTTTTTACAAATTGAATAAATAACTTAATCACAATAATAAGAAAGTGCATAATACCTTTGTGGAGTGAGGTGATCAGCGCATGCAATTGCCAGAAATCGGAAAGGGGAAGACACGCAACCACGATATTGCACGACTCGATTGGATAGACGCCCAAAGATCTGGAAAGCAGTGGTCTTGAGGCGTGATCAGAGATCAATTAACACTTTTAGAGCGGAGCTTTGTTAGGTCAAGCAGAGGATCAGGGGTCAATCTAGTTTTTGAGAGCGGCCGAAGTTTTTTGGGGCTGATCGCGCGGAGGCGATGAGGTGAGATCGGGGGGGTTAATTAGAGGGAGAGCGGAGGTTACAAGAGAGAGAAATCTGCAGAGATGACGACGTGAGATCAGAGGGGTTTAATTACAGGGAGAGCATCTGTAGAGGTGATGACGTGAGATCGACTTGCGGAGGTGACGATGAGAGATCGGAGAGGGAGGTGAGATAGAAGGGGTTTATTTTTTGGGAGCGGAGGTTACAAAGAGAGAGAGAAATCACCCTTCCTATTTAGTTTCCTGATTTTTATTTGCCCCCCAAAATTTAGTTTCCCACCTTAATTTTAATAAAAATATTTATTGTTCTTTTAATTTAATTGATATATAATTGATAACTGTTTCAAATAGAAAGAAAAAAAATCAGATTTGATAATAACCGTTTCAATAAGGTTTAATAGTAACGGTTTAATGAATTAACTGTTACTATAAGGAGCTTTTGCAGTAGTGCTTCTACATTGGTATCATGGTTATTGTCTTAGGGGGTGTTTGTTTCACCAAAAATTTTGGCATTTGGTATGGAATACAAGTTTTAGTATCAAAAAGTGAGTTTTTGTATTTGGGACTCCATATATGTTGTTTGCTTTAAGAAAATTTTTAGAATATTGAATCCCAAAAGTGCAAAAAGTGCTCAATTTTTAGATTTTGCCAAATTCTCTCAATTGGCGAGGATTTTGACAAATCTTAATTTTGTCTTTTTATGGTAGGTAACCTCACCAAGATAGCATATTCATCATATTACAAAATTTTAACATTTGGTAATGCTACAATTTAAGCTTAAAACAAACAAAATATTACAAATTGTTGATACAGGAGATCTACGAGATGAGGCGACTGAAAAGCATGACGAGCTGACTAAACAGATGAACGAGGCGAGACGAGACTCAAACCAGACGAGACAACAACAAACCAGGAGAGTCAAGCTGATGACTCGAGGCGAAGCAACCCAATCGAGATGAACAGACGACTCAAGGCGACAGGACGAGATGACATGCGACAGGATGAGACGATAGGCGATAGGATGAGTCGATACATGCCAGTCGACACGAAAGGCGGAACCACTCGACATACTTAGTTGTAATGACCGTAAATTTTCAATACGGGTTTAAATAATTTTCTGGTATTTAAATATTAAATATAATTTTTCTAAAAGAGTATTTGTATTTTTTCCAATTTCTCTAGAATTTTTTACGATTTAAAAATACGATATTATGTTATTTTAATAAGGTTTGCTAATTATAAATTTAATTGTTTTGATAAAATTTTTAAATAAATAGTTAATTATTCATCATTGTTATTGTTATTATTATTTTAGCCATAAATTTTAATATTTATTTTAAATAAAATTTATGATATTTTTTAAATTATTTAAAGGGGTATTTTGAAAATAAGTTATTTTGAGTAAAAAGTATTTTGAATAATTGTTATGATTAAAGGAATTTTATTTTGAGAAAAAATATATTTTAGATTATTTTATAAAATATGATAGAAATCATTTATAAAATTAAAAGTATTATTGTTCATAAATAATAATAAAATATATTTTAAAAAGATTATTTTAGATTTTTTATAATGAGAGATAATTTTAAAGGAAATTATTCTTGGAATTAATAGCTGAGATTTCGGCTGATGCGCACCACATTCTCCTTCGTGTGCTTCCTTGAGAACTTCTTCTGCTTCTTAGTCCGAAAGGCATCACCGTGTAGCAAAAGACACCAAGAGGTGTTCTGAACGCTGTATGCTTCTCGTCATCTGGGTGCATCTTGATTTGGTTATATCCTGAAAACCCATCCATGAAAGACATTCTCTCAAATCCGCATGTATTGTCAATAATAACATCTGTGATTAGGAGAGGAAAATCGTCTTTTGGACATGCCGTATTCAGATCCCTGAAGTCGATGCAAATCCTGATTTTACCGTTCTTCTTCATGACTGGAACGATATTGGCTAGCCAATCTGGATGTTGTTCTTCTCAGATAAATTGCTCCTCTCGGATAAATCCTGATTCGATTAATTTCTTAACCTCTGCTTCAATGGCTTCCATAATCTGCGGACGAAACCGTCTTTGCTGTTGCTTGACAGGTTTGGCATCCGGCTTGATATCGAGGCGGTGCATTGCCACATTGGGGTCGAGCCCTGGCATATCTTCATAGTTCCAAGCGAAGACGTCAATATACTCCCTGATGAGAGCAACTAACTCCTCCTTCTCATTTGAGGGAAGACTATCGCTGATGAATATCGGCTTTGGGTTGGCCTCGTCGCCCATGTTAACTTGGACTATTTTATCCTCAGTGGGGGGTTCTCTCTGTTCGAACCTGTCACCATACTGCATATTCAGATGATGAACCCACGGGTCTTCCCATGTTGGCATTTGATCATCGTCCTCCATTGTAGACGGATCAGCTGTAGCCATGTTTACCATTAGGGCTTTGAATGCCTCCCCTAGACTTGTGTCGGAAGAATCAGAAGAGTATTTGTTCTTAGTTTTGTTAGCAATTTGATCGATGATCTGCCAACCACATTCCTCATCGGACGAGGAAATATAGCCTAAGCCTCGCCCGTATTTATAATAATCCTCGGGTTTCCCTTTTGGTATGTATACCGCTTTGGCTGGAGTACGAGGACCTCGATCGAAGTATAAACCTTCTCCGAGTGTGAAATCATACCCCTGCTTTTCCATGAGCTTGCGCGCTTCCGGACTATACTTAGATAAATGCCGACCAGGTTCGTCATCATCTTCATCTTCACTTAGGAAATGATCTGGTAACGGAGAGCTTTTTCCTTTACCGTAAATCACTTCTTTTGCACCTCTTATCTTGTTCGGGATGATCATGGTTGTTCCGAAAGAATGCTGGCAGCGTTCCTTTGTTACATAGGACGACCGAAGCGGCATATATAAGTCAGGATTATCATACAATTTTGTTATCACATCATCAAGAGACTGGGAGTACTCTAAATCATTATTTATTTCATTAGTGGCAAGTTGCCAGTTACAACTGCCCTCTGACGTTTGATCATCGTCAAGGTTGATTACAAAGGGTAACTACCCTCTGACGTTTGATCATCGTCAAGGTTGATTACAAAGGGTACAATGTCATTTAGAACATAACCTCCATTGTAATCAAATCCGGCTTCGGTATCAACTTCTTCTCCGCTGTCCGTGCCATGGGCCGATGATTCAGTATCGGATTCGTTACCATAAAGGAGAGAATCAGTGAAATAATTCTCATACCCTTTAAATGGTTGCTTATCCGCGACCACCGTTCTAACCCTATTATCAGTGTCGACATATTTCAAACACTGATGGAGAGTTGAGGGAATTATAACATTACTATGGATCCAAGGCCGACCCAATAGTAAGTTATATGATGTCTCAGCATCAATCACGTAACACGTGACCTCCGTCTTTAGATCACCCATTTGGCACTTTATCCGGATCTTTCCCAAAGGCCTTGACCCGTTGGTGTTGATCCGGATTTTACCTAAAGGTCTTGACCCGCTGGTATTGAACCCGTAGATAACAGTGCCTGTGGACGCCAACTTGCTAACTGGAATACCAAGGAAATGTATCAAGCGAAGTGGCATAATACTCACAGCAGAACCCGGATCCACTTGGATTCGGTTGACTTTGCTGGAGTCGATGTACCCGATGAAGTATAGCGGTCGATCGTGGTTCGAATTCTTCGTCTGCATGTCCTCTTTGGTGAAAGTAATGCAGGGAAGGTTTTTGGTCGCTATGTTGCACTGTTGACTCAGTGGTTCTGGCTGTTCAGGCACCGGCTTGACTTGAGTCAGGAACACCTCTGAATTGGCCAAAGCTTCTTGCAAGGCCTCCCTGGTTTCCTTGGACAACCGCAGCAACTCATACAGCGTTATCCGTGCTGGAATGTTGGCTAATTGAGCCATTATATCGAAGACTTGCGGAGTCTTCGAGCTTTCCGGTTTGTCTCTTCCAATCGGGCGACTGAAACGAGACTGCTTCGGATTCTGCACCTCCTGGGGATTCTTTTCTTTCGGTTTATTCACCGACTGTCGTCGAGCCTCTTCGCCCGGTGTAGGACTTGTAATCACCCCCATCTCCGTGAGAGTTTTGGCTGGTCCCCGTTTATTCACCCCCTGCTCACTAGGTGGTGGATAGTTGTAGTGATACTCATTTCCGCTTCGGGTCGTAAAAACTTCTTGTTTTTCTTTAGAGAGCGGGAAAGTTAGGATTCTTTCGTCATCTTCTCCTGGGATAACAGAGACTCTGCAGCAAGACTTTCCTTTCCCTTTGGACTTCTTCTTGGATGACGATCCGGCCCATTGTTCATCTTCAATCAGGTCGGGGTGAACCCAGAGGATTTCGCCGTTTGGGGCTGTGTGTGGCATAAGTCCTTTTTGGCGCTGTCCATGCAGGTCGTCGTTTACTGTCTTCATCCCTACTTTGGTGATGCGCTCCGGTTTGAACCATGTTGTGGGCACCGATCCAAAGCTGATTGAAACCGCGTTTGCTCCAACATTCTTGGACGGCTTCGGGGTTATGACGCCTACATCAATTAGCGCCTGGATCTTGTCCTTGAGGTGGTAGCACGACTTGGTAGGGTGATGGACCGCTCTATGGTATGCGCAATACTTCGGATCCGTCACTTTGCTAGCCCCTTCTTGATCCACAATCGCTGACAGCTAAATTTTGTTGTTTTCCAATAAGTACTTAAAGATGCCGGGAACTTTGTCATCCTTGAAGGAGTACACTTTAGGAAACCTCGGCTCCGAAGATTTCTGCTTCTGAGGCCGTTGTTGCCATTGCCCGCGAGATTGTTGTGGTGCTTGTTGCTGCTGCTGTTGCTGAGGTTGCAATTGGAAAGTTTGATTAGCATCAACTGCATTAGCATGTGCCTTACCTTTCCCCCGTGGGACGAAATTCTGCTGTGGAGCATTCGTCGCCTGTTGGCCTCTCTCCGCCTTCTTCCTTCGGAGGAACCGTTCGGCTTGTTCCCCGCCCAGATCCTGCCACGTTTTGGACGGTGCTGTGCCCATTGCTTCCAACACGTCCAGCGAAAGGTTGTTGTGGCATGTCTGGAGGATGAATTCATTGGTGATCGGGTCCCGGCAGTTCATCGCCTTGTTCCGGAACCTTTTGACGAAGGTGTCGACTAACTCCCCGTCTTTTTGCTTCTCATCGAGCAGCGATCCGATAGAGATCTCGGTGTCGTCGTC